TCCCTGCCACTCCAAACAAGGGGGAGGTGAGACAGGAAACCACAAGTGAGGAGGCGGCTGCAGCAGGTGCTCAACTCTCCCAGCAAGGACAGAGCTCCTGGGACTTGATCCCCCAGCCCGTGCCCTCTGCCCATGGCAGGCAGCCCTGTCCTTCTCCCCATCCAGCTGGGCACCATCCTGCAGAACTGCAGGAGTGACAGGTCCATGGGTAATTCGAGCAGCAGCGAGGACTGGCTGTGAGGTACCGGTGGTGAGGGCAGGTGGGGTGGTGAGGGGCGCCGGGCGCTGCCTCCACAGCTCCTAGTAAGGCTGGTTCTTAATGAAGCGGCAGAACATGGGGAAGAGGCTGCGAGCGGACGGTCCGTGGGCACCATGTGGCCAGCTCCCTGTAGGAAAGGGGCAGCAATGGTCAGGGGGGCTGTGGTGCTGCCACAGCTCTGCCAGCACTGCCCCTCTGATGGCAGCTCTGGTGTCTAGCACACCATCCCTGGCCCTCAGAGCCCTCAGACATACCTTGACAGTGAGGAAGGCGATGTTGGTGAATTCCTTCACGAAGCCCCCAATCTGGTTCTCACCATTTTCAGTGTAGAGCCAGGGCCGGCGAGCCACCTGAACCTGGGAGTGGTGGCAGCACTCTCAGTGCCTGGGGCAAGCCCTGCCCATGGCCAGCCCCAACATACAGCCTGGAGCCAGGGATCAGCCTGGCCTGAGCCCTGCCCTGCCCATTTATATACCTTCTGGCACAGGGAGTCCACAAACCACTCGTCCCCAAGGAAGTTGCAGGCCATGTCGACATCCCCATTGTACACCAGGATCCGGTATTTCTGTGGAGCAGACAGAGGGTGAGGTCTTGTCAGGGCAGCAGCCCCAGCCAGGGAGGAGGCTGGGCTGGCAGAGCCACTCCCAGGGCCCGTGGGCTCCCCAACACACCGTGGTTCCAAGCAGCTTCAGGTACTGCTCATTCATCTGCATGTAGAGGCGCTTGTATCCGCGGTTCACCTCAAAGCTGTGGAGGAAGTGTTGACATCATGCAGCTGCTCCTGCTCGCGGCAGTCCCTGCCCACCCACAGCTTGCTCACCTGCACACCTGCCACTCTGGGGCCTCGGGGGAGATGTGGAGAGCCTTCCGCACCTCCGGGTTGTTCAGATACATGCTAGGGGCTGTGGAGTTGGTGCATGGAGGGTCCATACGGACCTTCTTCCGGGCTACTGGCATCCGGAACAGGTTCTGGAAGAGTTGGGAGACTCATTGTCACAGCAGCACCTGCCCCACAGAGCAGCCACTCTGCGCCTCCTGCCTGCAGAGGCTGCTCACAGTTCTCACAGTGGCACAGGCACTTTGGCTCACCTGCCGCCAGGAGTACCTCAGCGGCATCCGGATGAAGGAGTTGCCCAGGTCATGTGTGATGAGATAATCACCCTCGTACCTGAAGCCAAGATGAGCACGAGGACAGGCTGAAAGCCCTGGGGAAACAAGGGCTCAGGGCCCTCCTTGGAGGAGTCCTCAACAGCAGCCAGACACCATCCATCTGCCTGGAGGGACCTCCCGCCCAGCCTACCATGTCCCTCTGCCATCGGGACCAAAGTGAGCCAGTGCCTGGAGACCCATGTTCCCTGGGGTCACACTCACCTCATGCTCCCAGGGACACCACCATCACACGGGGCGTAGAGGTTGTAAATGTTGAGGCCAGACTCCTCGACAATCTGAATCATCTCCCCCATCTGCAAGGAGCCACAAGAAGGGTTTGGAACTCGGCAGGACCCTCACAGGACTGTGGGCCCACCCAGAGTTGGGTAGGTGCTGCTCACAGACACCAGCACTGGGCACATGTGTGGGGGCTCTGGCTCTCCTCACCTTGAGCGTGCAGTTCAGGTTGGAGTTGTCATGGAAGTTGCACTTGTCCTGGGAGCAGCAGAAGGCCTGCAGGTCCTTCCAGAGCCTGTGGGCAGAGACCAGGGCTTGGATGGCCCTTCTCAGGCAGCAACACCGATGTGACAGCCACACTACAGCTCCCTGCCTGGTGGCTGCAGGGCACATAGCTAGGCCTGGTTCCCTCTGTGCCCCACAAACATGCCCATGGCAGCTGCCTCGGACAAGGAGCCACTTCCAGAGCCTGGCTGCTGGCCCAGGGCAGGCTGGGAGCCGCCCTTGCACAAAAAACACCAACCCAGCCAGCCCTGGCCCCAGCCATCTCCCTGTCCTGCTCACACAGGGACGGCAAATCCAGGACTCCCCCTGCTCTTACTCGGTCCCCAGCAGCCCGTGGTAATAGGCAAAGTAAACCAGGGAGTTGTCATTGATCTCATAAGATGAGAGGCCGTTTCCCACAGCGATTCCCTGCGAGGCAAGAAGAAAACAACCCTGTTGTGTTCCAGCTCCCTGCAGGGCTGCCGCAGCACAACGGCCCCAGGCAGGAAGCAGATGGGGCACTGTTTACTCAGTGGAGGGAACAGGGAGGGTCGGGGGTGCCTGAGGACGCTCCCCTGGCCCCCGACAGCAGGGACAGACACGTCCACCAGCAGCTGCTGCCAGCACCCCAGGAGGAGATGAAAGGCTGACGAGCCAGGCCCATCCTACGTCCCAGAGGTGGCCCCACACGTCCACTGCATGGCCAACCCCCACCCCAGCACTGCTTGAGGGCCCCAGCGAGGCCGTGATGAGCTCTCTCTGCTCCCCAGCAGAGCCCAGCCACGCACCTTCAGATTGAGGCTGGGGTCCTGCATCACCCACTCTGCCAGCGTGGGGATGTAGACCCCCCCATAGCTCTCCCCTGTGAGGAAGAGATCATTCTTGGAGTACTCTGGGAAGAGCCGGAAGAATTCCTTCAGTGCCAGGTAGTTGTTGTGAGCAACCTGTGGGGAGGAGGTGGCTGTGTCACGTGGCAAGGCCACACCTCGTGGGGGGGGGAAGACAGAGGGGCTAATGGGGGGCAGGGCTCGCCCAGCACCCTGGTCACTCGCCTCTGTGTCGTTTGTGGCATACTTCTTGTCATCAGAGTACGAGAAGCCAACACCAGCGGGAGACTCCAGGTAGAGCATGTTGGCAATCTGCGAGGACAGCAGAGGAGCTGGTGATCAGTCAGGGGAGCCCCTCCTCTGGCCCAATGAGACCAAGGGCTGCTGGCCTTGCCCATGTTGGCACCCACAGGTGCCCAGCCCGCCCCCGGGCTGTGCTGAGCCGGCCACATTCCTGCGCTGCTCAACAGCAGACTCGAGAGGAGGGTGTGTTGGGCAG